TGCAGCTATTCAGCAAGTATAGCCTTAGTGTCACATTCTATGATGAGATGATTGGCTTAGTAGTTTCAGGAAGAGCAGTGGATGAGATATACGTTGACTTTAGCCAGGCTTTTCATAGTCACCTACAACATTCTTGCAAGGAAACTAAGGAAGTATGGGTTGCACAAATGATCTGCACGGTGGATAGAAAACTGGTTGGATCATCAGGCTCAGAGAGTAGTAAGTCAATGGCTCAATGTCTAGTTGGCAGCTGGTATGGGTGGATGGAGGGCACCCTTAGCAAGTTTGCAGATGACACCAAACCATGGTGAATAGTACATATGTTAGTTGGTGGTACTAGAATTCAGAGACCTTGACATATTGGAGGATTAGACCAGAAGAAGTCTCATGAGGTTCAATAAGGACAAGTGCAAAGTCCTGCACTTAGGACAGAATCATCTCACACACTGGTACAGGCTGAGGATCCACTAGTTAAGCAGCATCTCTGCAGAAAAGGACCTGGGTGTTACAGTGGACAATAAGCTGAACATGAGCCAGCAGTGTGCCCTCATTGCCAAGAAGGCTAACAGCACACTGGGCTGCATTAGTGGGAGCATTGCCAGCAGATGAAGGGAAGTGATTATTCCCTTCTATTTGGCATTGGTGAGGCCACATCTGGAATACTGGGTCCAGTTCCCCCTGTGCCCCCCACTGCAGAAAGAATGTAGACAAATTGGAGAGTCCAGTGAAGGGCAACAAAAATGGTTGGGGACCTGGGGCACATAACTTCTGAGGAGAGGCTGAGGGAACTGGGCATTTTTAGTTTCAAGAAGAGAATACAGAGGGGATTTAATAACAGCCTTCAACTACCTGAAGGGGAGTTCCAAAGAAGATGGAGCTAAACTGTTCTCAGTGGTGGCTGATGACAGAACAAGAAGCAATGGTTTCAAGTTGCAGCAAGGGAGGTTTAGGTTAGATATTAAGAAGAACTTTGTCACTAGGAGGGTAGTAAAGCACTGGAACAGGCTACCCAAAGAGGTGGTGGAATCTCCATCCTTAGAGGTTTTTAAGACCAGGCTAAACAAAAACTTGGCTGGGAAGATATAGTTGGGGATGGTCTTGCTTTAAGCAGGGGATTGGACTAGATGACCTCCAGAGACCCCATTCCGACCCTAATTTTCTATTATTCTATGATATCCTGTATAATAGACACCTTACAATTTTTGCTTGAATTACATCGCTTTTAGGGATGCAGCCAATCTTAATTTCAAGGTATTTTTAGCCTTATACAGAATATCACTGTATATTGCTCCCAGGCAGGTTTTCCAGACTCGAACCATTGTTGTGGTTCTTTTTTGAAACCCTCTCCAATTTTTCAAGTTCCTGGGGGTTTTTTGGTTTGTACACACCAGAACAAGTCAGAGAATTCCACTAACAGTGTCCCCAGTACCTAAAACAGAGGAAATACAATCTCCTTGTTCTGAATTGATATTACACCTTTCTCTTTCCAAGGATCAAATTAGATACAGCCGAGATGTAACAGGGCAGCCCTGTACTTGGGCAGTGACAGTGCATGGGGCAGTACCAGTAGCTGTTTCAACAACTATTTTTATGCCTCCTACCTAAGTTGGAGTCTGAGGCTGTTGCCTCAGCCCCCTCCCCTCTCTCATCCTCTTAGTTACGCTACTGAGGCACAGCACCACACTGGGAGTTCACATATGGTTGGCTATCCACTATGACATGTAGCATAATTTTCAAAGACACTAGCCTTTTTTACCCTGCAAACTTAACAGATTAGGCAGCAATGTCCTCAAACTCACACTTCTGTTTCATGTGGACTGCATGCTAGATCAGAAGCAGTGTTTCTGCATCCACGTTGTGTCACAGGTGTGCTAACTGGAACTATCACTTAAGTGTGCTAATTAACCTGCCTTGAGTGCTCAGCTGATGCAATTATATTGTAGTCAGTTTAGGAAGTAGCCCATGGGGAGTAGCATGTGATGTTTGAGAATGCTGTTACCATGACCCACTATTTCCACATGCCCCCATGCTGTTATTATGACTTACTGTCTTTGTTCCTAGATGTTTGATGGCCTTCCATTTGGCTTTACTAAAAGTTAACATGCTGCTAGCTTGCAATCAGTTGGCCAAGTGAAACAGGTCACTCTACATAACTTACCCATCCTCATTATTACTCAAGCACTTCACCAGGTATCTGAAAATATGACCAGAAGGCCGACCAATGTCCAGTTCCGTAGGTGGTTCTAGGGCTGTTGGTTGTAACCATGTTGGTCTAAGGACATAGGCAGGCAAGTTTCTTTGGGTAGATGTGATATCTTTTATTAGATCAACTAAATAGTTGTAAAATATGTTCTTTGCAAGCTTTCAGGCACAAACGGTTTTCTTCAAGCATAGGGAGACTCTGCAGAGTCCCAGGTGATACTATACTACAGTGGAGAGTCTCCATATTTTAATAAAAGATATCACATCTACCTAAAGGAGCTTGCCTGCCATAGGCAGTTCTAGAACCTTTAAAAGGGGGGTGCACTGTCAAACTATTAAACAACACATTTTGCATCAGTTAAAAAGAAATTAGAAGCTTTACTAATGTTGCAGGGCCTAGGGCTATATTATTCAGTTTAAAATTAAAGCAAAAAACAAATATAACTTTATCAGAATGTGTATTAGCTATGTATAAAAAAACAAATGAGGCAAAAAATTAAATACAAGATGTTTCTTTAGTTTTATTATCATTCGAATTAAATGTACATTTTTTCAGATTTATAAAACAAACTACAGTCTTCTTGAGCAAATGTTTTATTGAAAGTTATTTCCATACCTGAATTAATGGTTTTAGTTAGAGTTAAAACAGTCTGCAGGGCTGTGAAATAGGAGTTACATTACCAGGAGTAGCTAGCAAACAGCAGAATTTCAGAAGAAAGCATAGCTTAATTTTGCATACTGGCTTCTACTCTACCCAGGAGAGCACACAATTCACCAGCAGACTCTGGTGCCCAGAGCATGCAGGCTGCAGATCATGGCTCTGCCCTGGCTCTGGACCACACTGTTACTGCTGCAAGAACCCAGCCCAGCCCCAGAGCAGGTCCCTGTCTTGTTGCGTGCCCTGCCAGCACTCCTGGGGCCAGTCTTCACAGAAATCCCTGCCCCTGCTAGCACAGCACAGCACAGCACAGCACAGCACAGCTGCTGCTGGGGTCTCCATGGAAACCAGGCCCAGCCACATGGGCAAGAGCTTCTGGGAAATGGAGTCCACTGCCAGGCCCATGGGCCAGACTTTACCCATCCCTGTCTTAGACTAACATGGGTACAACCAACAACCCTAAAGCATGGAAGATATCAAATTTAGCTTAATTAGTGGAACATCAAAACCACTAAAAAGGAGAGAGGGTCATTAACACCTGTGCAATGAATCGTTTAGGAGGATTCAGGTCTGAGCAATGAGGGCAACTGACTTCTTCAGTGCTGCCTAAATAGAAATGCTGCTGCCACTGTCAGGCAGTGGGTTTTAAACTTTAGATGGACCAGGAATGAAAGATGAATGCAACTGCACCACTGCACACTGCCAGATCTGCTCCTGTCTACATCTATCTTGATTATTGCTCCTTCTTCATAGAGTACAACCAGGGGTGTAACTGCAATTGCTGAATTTTGTCCACAAGATATTAGATCAGTGGCTCCCAACCTTTTGGCCCTACAGGCCAAATGAGTGGCATGGGGCCAGCACTATGAATCCCTGAGCCACCCCTGCCCGGACCTACAGGCTGGGATAAGATTCTGGTGTCCTGTGCTGCTCATGCTTGGCCCCATATGCCAACATCAGGCTCTGGGGCCCTGTGCTTCCCCTGCCCAGCCCCATGTACCGGCAATGGGCTCTGGGGCCCTGCACTGCCCCTGTATAATAGATTTAATAGATGTTACGGCTGGAAGGGACCTCAAAGATCATCAAGTCCAGCCCCCTGCCCCAGGGGCAGGAAGTCAGCTAAGGTCAAAGGATCCCAGCAAGATAAGCATCCAAACGTTTCTTGAATGAGTCCAGAGTAGGTGCCTGCACCACTTCTGGAGCGCTGTGTGCTGGGATTGGGCTTTGGGGCCCCACATGCCAGGATCAGGTCCCATCAAACATACAGGCTGGATGACTTGGTGCCATGTGCCATGAACAGCATGTGCCCCTGGTGGCTGGGGGGGCATGGCTGCGTGAGCATTAGTGGGAGCATGGCGGTTGTGGCAGAAGCCTGGCGGCAGTGAGCAGGGAGCTTCCTTAGACATCACTGGAACTGTTGGTGGTGGGGTGGCGAGCACTGACCATGGGTCGGCGACCACCGGCAGGTACTGCTGGCAGCAGCAGCAGCAGCCAGGGGTGATTCATGGACGACCCACAGATGCTGCCGGGACCACCTGCAGGCACCACAGACAGTGTCGGCGGTGCCTTCTTGCAGGGGGTGCACTGCCACACGCAGGGGGTGCACCCATGTGCATGCTCTGTGCGCCACCCCTGCCAGGGGCTGTATCTGACCCATATGCTGGGGACTGAACACCCCTGTGGTAGATTGACAGTAATGACATATTTTACACTGTACAATTAACAAGCCTCAGCTAATTAACAACTTCCAGCTACGATTTGAACCAGTGACCTATAAATGAGTAGCTTGATAATCTATCCAGTGCTTCATGTAGGATCTTTGCATACTAAATAAATGAATAAATAAAGAGTTAATGAAGAAAAAAACCTATAACAACCTTGAACTCTTGAAGAAAATTATGAGTTATAATGAATACTGAAAAAACGGCAACTTTACATAATCAACTAAAAACTTCAAGGCTTTAATGGTTATATGATACAGCTCTTGCATATGAAAATGTATGCAATTCTTTCCTGTGTAGTCACATATAGCCCAGACAGCTTACCTCTATGCTCCCAAGTCATTTACAACATCCATTAATAAATATTTAGTTGTTATATACCAGAAATTTGACAGTTCTAGACCCTGAAGATTACTCACCCTTGAAGATCTCATTGCAGTATAAATTACTGAAAAATGAATTCCTCGCTCTTGCAGACTCATAGTCAATCTTCCAATTACTTTGTCTATAAATAGAAACTTACATAGCTTACCAAACTCTAAGCTGATAAAACTAAAAACCTATGATAATTGCAACACAAGTAATGAAGTATATGGGTGTTTAAATCAATTTATAGGAAAACTATAATTCATATGACAGTTTAGAAAACTAGAGTAATGCTCAAGAAATGTAAAATCTACATTAAATAAGATGAATGCAAGGCAGTTCAGATAAAGGAGGGATTCAGAAGTCTAAATGAAATTTAAATGATCTGGGAGAGTATATTTTAGGAAAGTAAAAGGAGGAGGAAAGACAGAGCATGAGCAGATGAGAACAGGATGCTAAATACCATCTAATAAAAATAAAGCTGAAGAAATTATGTTGTGTGTAACTTAAGATGCTCAGAGTATTTGATCATTGGAAAGTTACCAGCAAAATTTTTTTGAAGGATTGGTAAATCTTAGATTTGGTAATAATACAGTAATACAGTGCCGTTGCAAATAGATCTGACTGGTCTGAAGTCTATGGAAATGTTAGTATACGCTTAAATAGGGGCAGAAATAAACCCTTAATTAGAACAGCTGTTGAATCAAGTCACAAAAATAGTAAAAAAACTCCACACATGGAGGAATTACTACAAGCACATTATTTTTGTACTAATTTTAAGTAAGGTCCAAAATACTTTTTATGGGCAAATCTTTATTTTTGAAATCATACATAGTCTGCATATCCACTTAACTATGGAGTTCGTTAATTAGCGCCGCAGTAAAGCATCACAGTCAACACATGTGCCTGTGTTAGAGGGCAGTTATTAACTCAACCATAGGATACTAAGATCCAGGACAAGTAATTTGTGTAATTTATGCTGCCTCAATGCACATGTAGATGGTGATGGGGCTGGCTGAGGCATGAGGGTGCTACAGTACAGGGCAGGGGCAGCCAATTATTTCAGGCGGAGGGCCGCTTACCTAGTTTTGGCAAGCTGTCGAGGGCCGCATGGGTAGCTCTGCCCCTTGACAGGTGCCCCACCCCTTGGTCACCATCTTGGCACCAATGTCCCAATGTCTTGGGACCGATGTCCCAGGACCAGCTCCGGTGAGGCCCAGAGTGGGGTACAGGCTGGCAGGGGTCTGTGGGGCCAGGTTGGGCTGCACCAGAAGGGAGAGGGGGGAGCTGGCTCAGCTCCATAGAGCCCCTGCTGGCTGGGACCCTGTGTGGCAGAAAGCCACCTTGGTTTCTCCCCAAAAATCTCTGCCCTGTGACACTGTGATTTAAATCTCTGTGCTGTGACCATTCAATTAGGATGGGCCCAGCACACAGGGGACCACACCCTCAGCCTGTCTCTTTAGGGAACT